AGGGCGGGGCAGGTCGCAGAAGGCGGTGGAGGGCGGCGATGAACGAGGGAAGTCGAAGATGAGGGGGCTGGTGGATGGGCGGGGAAGATGGCAGAAGGGAGGAGGAGGAGAGCCGGTGATGAGTGAGGTGAGCAGTACGACAGGTAGGGGATGGCGACCGCGACGTGGAAGGGCGAGGGAAACACGTGGAGGACAAGGGATGGCGAAGGACGCGAGGGGAGTGGTGGAGGACGCGGGAGAGCGTGAGAGGGCACGGGCGCAAGAGGCCGAAGCAAAGGCCCGGAGTTTCTGGAGGAATCCCACTAATCGCTTGCTTATTCACGGGAAACAAAGCAGGGTCGGGAGTGGGAAACCACAGGTGTACGAAGGATCAAATCGGGAAACAGTTTTAGAGGAAACGGTGATAGGCATTCAGAACTGGGGAAAGGAAAAGATATTCGAAGAGGAAGGCATGACCTCAACACCAGAAACAGATAAGGATGGTTTGTGGAATTCTGTGGAGAAGTGAGAAGGAGCGGGGGGATGGAGCGTGAGAGGCAGGCCGTTGAGAGGGGAGGGAGGGGAGCCGAGATGCGGTCTGGCGCAGGGTGCGGGACACCCACTTACCTCCCGCGTCTGGCTGAGGCCACTCGTATACCACTCCCTTGCCCGAAGAGTCGAAGGCGGACTTCTGCTCCGACTTGTCGATCTCGTTCAAGTTGGATTGGTACTTCGAACCTGCAACACAAACACCAACTCAGATTAAGACATATCTATGACGAGGGGTTATGGGCAGACATTTTCAAAGTGAAATATGATTCTCACTATTCAGTAAAGAAGTTGGATTAAACATAAAAAATCTCAATCTTCAATAGAAAGAGGAAAGGAAACTTAACTCATCAACTTTGGTAGATATCATAATTGCTTTTTGATTAATTCAACCAATATATATGAAAAATATCTTACGGTAATATTGTGGCTCAAGAATGCCGTGACATACTAAAAATAAAATCATTTCAGGATATTGAATTAATCCGTAAATATAACTAAAGGAACATCATATCAGAAATTCTTGGCCGAGCTTAGAAGGCAACGGTTAAGGTAAACATTTCTATTTTGTAGCCGGTTAAGATCTTCAAAAACGGACTTTACACGCAGTTTCCTTTCTAGCATATTAACGAAGGAGTATGACGATGCAAGATTGTCTTTTAAGTAACAATAGTAGGCAATACGAAAATATTTATTTAGGCAATGCATTGCGGATGAATCGTGTACTTTTATTTTTTGTTATGTTCTGCAAATATGTTCTTTTCTCTTAAGTTTATATTCTCTTCTTAGAGTTACAAATATGATACTTGGAGTTCAGCAGGCAATGTATAGAAATATCATTTAGAGTGATTATCTTTCACAGCCCATTGACTGATCTGGTGGATTAAAATTACTACCTTCTAGAAATATATTGCAATTCATTAAATATTTTAAGTTGATGTCGGAATTGGTATCCAAAGATGTGCGACATCATTCAAGCAGATCGCACCAGGTTTCCTATTACGTGATAGGTTTTCAAAATCTGTAAACTCATTGTTTTGTTATGTTCTTTATTAGGGAAAATCGATAATTTCGCTCTACGTCTAATTGTACAATATTTAATTTATGATCAATTTAATTTATCACTGTCAAATGATCCGTGATTTTTTAAGGCGTGAAAAAATCCCGACCGATGCTCTAGTGCTTATTTTAGCAATAATTTCATTGTACTGTACACTGTACTCTGTGTACATTTTAGCAAATGGAATAGTAGATGTTATGCGAGTCCTTGAGAAGACGTAGATATCATACTTACACCATCTGAGAATCATTGCATAGTTTCTCGCGTGTGTTGCATCCATTTTTCGATAATTGTGAGTACAGAGCTCCATCTTTTCTTTATATTTGCCTTAGTAATGCAAGTAATCTCATGTTCTTTAATTCCGATTGGTTGTCTTGAAAATCGCCTTTACCGCTCGTACTGCTAAACTAATAGTTGTAAGGAAAACAACCATATATCCTCAATGTTACAAAATGTCACGAATTTGACTTAAACGAAAGAATTTAGAATTTATAGGTGTCTTCTACACTAGAAAAACATGATTGGAATGGGACACTTACTGGCACTCCGAAAATTAGCATTTGTGACTTGCCTATTACTTCCGTACCTATGGAATGTTGTGGTGAAATGTTGATAATTAACGTTCTCAGGTCAGTTAATTTGAAGTAATATGCTTTTGGTAACCGTTGACTACATGACGATTGCCATCATCAAAGATCGAAATCATGTCATTACTTTGCGTCCGATGATTACGACTATGTACTCAAATTTCGCATGTCTGTTGAGTTTCATTAACTGCTCTACTACAATAAAGTAATTATAGACACCTTCTAAATTACCTTGCTTGATTATTATTTTATTGTAATGATTGTTATGAAGATAATAGTTAAATTCTTGGTGTATTTTTGTACTTCTTTGTCGTACTGATGACGTACGGAACATGACAGAAATAATCCAGTATAAACATTAGTGCTAGCTGACAACTTAGTTTCAAAACCCGGCAAGGAAATAATCACTAATACCTTGTTATAAGCCAAACTTGTAAAATGGGCAGTAATTTTTCTATTTACGTATAAAATATTCAAATTTTCAATGTTTCTCTTACAGCGTTGGGATATTCAGACACTGCATATTTTATCTGATTGTTTTCAGAGCAAGACTATGAACTTCTATGAAGACGACGCGGACGATGTTGGGGCAACGAGGAGCAGGGCAGACTCGAAAGGCTGTAGTCAACAGCGGCGTCGCTTTGGCGATTGGGACAATTCATTTGTGACGGACATCGGGGCCGTGAAGAAGCTCGACTTCTTTGTGAATTATCGCAGGAGGAAGACGGCGAGCCGGCAGAGCAGCGCCGCGGACGCCGTGGCTTCCGGGGCGGCGCTCGTGTCGTACTGGAGCGCGAGCGGCGGCGGCTGCGGCCGCTGCCCCGCCGGCCCGCGCAGCGCGGAGTCGGTGTTCGCCGACACGGCGGTCATCCGCGACTGGGGCGCGCCCCACCGCACGCAGCTCTTCTTCGCCAACACGGCGTACGCCGTCTGCGACAGCGCTCGCGGCCTCGTGGAGGAGCTGGACCCGGTGCTGGCGGCCGAGATGACGCCAACTACTCATCCATCCGCGGCCAAGCATCACATGCTCTCGTGGCTGAATCAAAAAGCTCGCCGTTTCTTTTCGTCGGCCAGTTTAAAGGCCTTCAACGTTGGTATTTTTTGATCAGTTCTTTCGGGGGCTGTGAGTCTCGAAGTTCTATACTGAGAGATTTCGAAACTCGAAAGATGTCTTAAAAAAACACTTAAAAACGAAAAGCACTTGAAAAACAAAACAAAAACACTCGAAAAACGGAAAACACTCAAAAAGAAAACTCAAAACACAAAAGAACACTCGAAAAAGAAGGAACATTGAAAAGTCGAAAAATCATTCCAAAAATCTGCTGTATTTTCAACTACTAAAAAATAAAATTGTCATCACACGTCTATTATTTTGTTTGATTTTAAGTTAATAATTGTTCATGAACGTGTTTACTGTTCCTGTTATTAGTGATCAGTTTTCCTTTGCCATGTTGAAAGGTATGCATTTTAATGTTCGTCAATATTACATGCGTATATATACTAATATTTTTGATTAATTCAATGTCATTTCTATGTCGTATTCAATGCAACTGCACCCTCAATAATTGATATTCAGTACTGACACTAAACTGACGTGTGCCGTTTTCGTTTTCAATATATACCGTTTTTACAACTCATTGCAAATTCAACAGATTGCATCATTTTCGAATCAGGTATACTAATATTGACACATATGATTCTAATCGGTACGATGTGCAGCTGCAATTTGATGCATAGGATCATTTTCGTCAATCGATCGAACTATAACGTGATATAATGTTTATATCATATCGAGATATAAATGTTTTCCAAACATCGTAACATATTCTTTAACTTGATAAACGGAGGCGAGGGCCAGACGAAAGCGGGACACGGACGGAGATATTATTTCTTTAATGTCAAAAACACTTAAAAACTGTGTGACTACAATGGGGAGAAGGGCAACACACGCATGGTTTGTTGATCTTGGAATATATGTTCTAATTTATATACATATTACGTTGAATTTTGAGGAGTTGTAGAAACGAGCGTTTTGGCGAGAAATGAAATGAAAATATTCGCTCCCGACTAATAAAAATTATTTGCAAAGGCAAATCAGCTACAGATGTATACTATTATCCCTAGCGATTTACCTGAAGGAATCGACTAACTGCCGCGTTAAAATGGAAAACGGATTATTCGAATATCTACATTCCCGAAAGAGATGGAGAAAACGCACTCGGATAGCGAAGCGCCGTTGCGGAGGGGCGGGCAGGGGCGAGTGTGGAGGCGGAGGCGGTGCAGGTGCGGAGGTGGGGTTGGCAGGCGGCTTCACGCGGCCGCCAAACAATTGCCGTGCGCGGGGGGAGCGACGCGCCTGTCATTTCCGGCGGCGGCGCGGACAATGGGAATGCTGCCCCCCCCCCGCCCCCCACGGCCCCGTTCCATTCGCCAGCCCGGCCGAGCCCACGGACGATTTTTCGCAAATTTGGATATTGCCTCCTTTCTCCAATCTGCGAGGGAGGGGACGAAATTCATTGCCGGTCCAAATCGAGCTCATTATATACGACCGCGTAGCTATCGGTCAGTGGCGCCCAGCGGCGCGCGCTACTCCCCTACCGACCCGCGCCACCCCCCGGGCGTTTCCTGCTCTAAGCTCCGGCGCCGGCCTCGCGCCTGGCCATCACTGCCCGCCCTGCTACCGCCTGCTCCGGCCTTGGCTGCTGCCCGCCCTGCTTCCGCCTGCTCCGCCCCCTCTCAGCGGCGCCCTCACAGGGCCTTCGCACGCCGCCCACAGCCGTTCTCGCCGCCTGCCTCGCTCTGCCCCGCCCCTCACTTTCAGCCGCCGCCTCACAAGCATCCGCGCCCCGCCCGAAAGCGCTGCCGCTCTCCCCGCCCTGCTCCGCTCTGCCCCGCCTTGCCCCACCCTCTCAGGCGATCGCTCTCGCGGCCTTCGCTCGCCGCCCACGCCGTTCTCTACCCGCCCCACACTTTTCAGCGCCGCTCAACAAGCTTTCAAGCGCGCTGCCGCTCTCTCCCGCCCTGCACCGCTCTGCCTCCTTTACCCACCCCGCCACTCTTTATATCGACGCTCAACAAGGCCCCGCGCCGCCACCGCTCTCCACGCCCTGCCCGCTCTGCCCGCCCCAGGCCCCGCAAGCGCCCCGTAACTTGGTCCAGCCGCGCCCAACAAGCCTGCGCGCGCCTGCCTCCGCCCCCCATCGCTCGCTCCGCTTCACCGCGCCCAGCCCCGCGCCTCCCTGCGCTGCCTCACAAGTCTCCACGCCCCGCCACCGTTCGCGCCCGCCCGGCAAGCCCGCGCCTCTCTGCGTGCTTCGCGCAGACCTTACGAACGTACGCCGCCGTCTGCCGCCTTCTAGCCCTCGCGTGCCGCCCCGCCACGCGCGCGCCCCACGTGGCATCTACACCCGTCCCCGCATCGTCCTGCAGTTGCCCGAACCCCCTTGCGCTGCCCTGCCCCAGCACCGTCCGCCTACTTCCCACATTCTCTCTTGCATGCCGTCACGCCGCCCCCGCGCCGCCTTCCATCCTCCTGCCCCTCCCTTGGGGCTCCCGGCGCCGAGTTGCTGGGGCCCACACTTCCTAGTAATACACGTGAATTGATCAAAAAGGAAGAGCTACGGTCAATTATCTATGGATTTACAAGCAAAAAAGAATAGACGAGGGCACTTGACAAAAATGTTCAAAGAAAATCATGAAATATTAGTAGAAATAATACATAATTCCCTAAAAAAGAATTTTTCCGGAGCCATGAACTTAGTGCCCCACGGCGTTTCTGTTTTCCCCCTTGCTCTCATTTCACCCGTCACAACAAGTCTCTACCGCTCCCGCCCATGCCCCTTCTCTTTCCTCTCATAAAAACAGGGAGAGATGGCTCAAGACATCAATTGATGTCACTGCAGTCCGCTTGACCGCGAGAGCCTAGGTTCGAGCCTCGACAGTGGCTTGTCAGCTAGAACGAATTCAGTCGCTGTCTGAGGGAGAATTCAACCGGCCGGCTGCACTGATCGGTATTTTTCCATGATTTCTCCGATCAGCACCAGGCGAATGCCAGAGCAGTACCCAACAAATGGGCCACAGACCGCGCACAATTTTTCCTACCTCTTCCTTGTCCTATTCTCACCCGTCCTACATGCACTACACCTGTCCTGGCTGGGGCTGTGCCCCGCTGGTGGAAGATACCCGGTGAGGAAAACCCCCGGTATACGACGGACGGTCCGAGCGCTCCCCGCCCCTTGCCACTCGGCCGCTCGTACGCACTACCTGCACTCGCCTCCATGCCACTTCCCCATTTATATTGCTCCATCGTACATCACATACTTTTTACTGTTTTTTGTCGGAAATAATTCAAATCGCTGCCTCCCACGTTTGCCGACAACTCTCCACGGTATGACTCCCTCTAGCCCTATGGACACCTGAGCAGTTTCTAGATCCTAGGAACTAAATGCTACCCGCGAACGCGCCGGGCTCGCTCGGTGGGTCGGGGCGACGATTCCAAAAACATTCGATCAGACAGTGTTTGAGGCACATCTGGGTGCACTGAGAACTTTTTCAGGGTAGGAAGTTCTAAATGGTTCCTTGGCACAATAGGAGCTTGGAGGCGAAATAAAAAGCTGGGAACCTACGATCTTTGAGAGGCCGGGAACCTACACAGAATTTGTTTGTTGTGTCTCTGGCGAGCGAGTTGACGCGAAAAATCTGCCGTCTTGCCCTGGCCCAGTTAGAACGCCTCAACTCAGAGAGCAAATTAGAAATTTTCTCGTGGATACGTTAAAAATAAAGAGAACTACTGAACAAATAAAACTGACGCGACAATACCAGCGGTTTTCATTATTTTACAAACAGTGGATGTTATTAATTATATGTACACATGTGGTTTCTGTTAGCTTGTATACACGTCCGATGCGAAATGCAACTTGATAATAAACAATTTACCGATTCAAGTTTTCTTGTCTAATTTTCTTGATTTGGATTCCTTGATTTGAATGTTTCAAAGCGTGTAAAACATAAATGGGGCGCCTGGAAGTTCATTAGGGTGATTCCCACCCTGCCAGGGACAAATCAACACTTTTGCTGAGTGGAACCCCACCCACGTCAATTCGCAGCCTGTTTAAAGGTCTAGCGACTGCTTCGCAAATGTCCCTCCCCCGCTTGCATGCTATCCTTCACCCGCGTTGTTGTCGCGCCTTCCTCCACCCTTTTGTCGCCATTCGCTTACAAGGACGAAGGACACAACGCCAGCAGCTCCCAATTCTTGGAGCCTCTGCGTAAAAGAACCTTCACAACATTCTATAGCCCTAAAGATCCTCCGTTATCCCCAACACGATCTTCTGTCGGTTTCGCATAAGTTTGGAGGTCTCATCAGTATTTTCTTATTGTGATAATTAATGGCGTTGCTGCACATATGATATTCATTTTCATAGTATGATATCAATTTCCATTGTATTGGATTCCATGGCTTCTTGATAGAGTCGAAGTAAGCACACTGCAGTTGAGGCGCTATTTGCTCTTCACCGAACTCATTGAGGGGACTGTATTATTCAATATCCAACTTTTTGACATTAACATGTTCTTGCATATGTCGGAAAAAATTGGAGTAATACCCATCTGAAGTCACTTTTCTGTTCCTTTCAGTTTGCGAAGGACAATCCGCTCCGGCTTGCGGTCCGACGTCGTTTGTTAATCCGTATCTCAATTCGATATTTATGTTCTTGATTGCCTCTCCTAGTGTGGTCATTTTAAGCACGTACAGAAAATTAGAAGCATTTAACTTCGAAATTGAATCCACACGATACAATTACCTTACTTGCTCAATATGACTCTTAACTTATTTCGAAATCTGATACGACATTTCGACATATGGAACGAACTGATACTAGAATGGTGGGCAAAGTAGGGTATTGTAGTTATTTAACCCAGTCAGTTAATAGTTTTAAAGATGAGTTAAAGTATTCGAAAAAAAAACCTTAAACAGGGTGATTTAAAGAAGCCATAACTAGAGACCAGAAAAATATGTAGTATTAAACGTCAAAATATGTACATAAATACTTAATGAAAACAGTAATAATATATAATAAATATGTAAAATCGGATTTGATATGTAATATTAAAAAAACTGTAATCATAAAATCATTTACGTAATACTAAATTACATTTATTAAGAATTACCTAAAATTAATACATATGTTTTAAAAACCATTTGGAGATCACAAGTTGATGCACACATTCCATCATACAACTTTCCCGTCAGTAGTTAAAGATTCGACTACTATTATTATGGGCCGTCTAGATGCAACAGAAGCCATCGTACAAACTGGCGATATCTATGGCCAGCAAACAATCACTGAAGCACTTTCATGGAAATGTTACACGTCGGCGATCGCCAAATTTTTCTCGGAAATTAGGGTTACACGTCACAAAGCTATGTGTCAATGATACTTTTCTCACCTAGATTTCACCAATAACGTAGGAACAAATACTGAGTTTTTGAAGACACTTCTTTTCATAAAAAGTGTTATAAAATTAATAGAATAAAAAATATTTTCTGAAAAAAGAAAAGTATGTAAAATATGTAATATAGCACTAAGTATGTAAAATTATGTAACGAAAAAATTGGTTATTGTGTTAGGTGGACGACGATTTGCCTGTTCTACAATTTTGAGAAGAGTATGTGGAAAGGCAAAGTATATGTAATTACACCCAAATCCGGTCATAACACACCTATCATCTTCTGAACAGTGAAATAAACGGAGATACGATTTTTCGTAATAAGATACCTTTGTGCAACAACGGCAGAAACCGGGGCGATCTTGGTACAACGTATTTTGTCTTTGCACTATTTTTTATTAAGAAGATGTAAGGTCAACTTCATTTTTTAAATGAATTCATACTCTTAGCTTTGTCTTATCAGAAAGAAGTTGACAAGATGATTTGTAAGTTTTTGAGAGCCGTTGTCGCTCAGCGTCACTCACCTTTGCCCTTGTCGCCGTGGAGGCCGTTGTAGAGGTTGGGGTTGTACACCGAGTTGTTGGCCTCCGGGGCGCCCTCCCATTGCTGATCTGGAAACAGAGCAGAGCGCCAAGTCAGTCGTTAGTGTAGCTGGGGCGGAGGGGGGGGTGTCTTTGACGGATCACAACTCTCGTGCCCAAAAGGATAGATTTTAAGAAAATGTAATGATTCTTCCAACAGGGCGCAAACATGGGGGAATAAGCTTTAACTAGTTGTCCGTGAGAAATGACGAAATCATGTATTTTCTTCAGTGAAGAGATGAGATATGGATAATTGTATGTATACGTCAGCGACTGTGATCAGTTTTACAGCTAGTTGGTTACTCTTGAATGTTGATACTTCTGGCATAGAATAATGGTCGAGCAAAATATTTTTTTTTATCAAAATGCGGGTTGTCAATTATTTCCCTTACACCGCTTAATTACGGAAAATTGTTCGTCAGTACTGGAAACGTTGCTGCAACTTTCAAAAATTTACAGAAATATTTGTATAATTGAAATAATACAAATATATGAATGAAATATTGACATAAAGTGAAAATAAAAATGAAATATAAAAATAAAATATTTGTATAATTATTAATAATACAAATATGTAGTAAAACACGAAAATTCAAATACTATTTGAGTTAAAAATCATTAGGGGTTGCAGGTAAATAATTTTTGTAATTTTTCAAAAACTCGTGGGCAGCGGTTCTAATGGGGAGTTAGGATATCAACGAGCCGTTAGTAAATCTATTTTTTAATAGATCCATTGTCAAAACAATTTCCACTTCAAAACAGATTTCGATTTTTCACACTCAGATTTCGATTCAATAGTGGTAACTAGAAAATTTTGGTAAGATCAAATACTTGACTCGGCAAGTGCCATTTGGTATCTTACTCTCATGAACGTGTGCAGGACACCAAGTCCCAAAACGTGTCACTTTCTGATACATTATTACAACGCCAATATGAATGTGTTTTCAACTTCAACAGAAGGCATAAGCTCTAATTTCTGAAAATTTGAAGAAAATAGGAAGTTTCCAATTCTTATTTTTTAAATTTTGGGCTTGAAGCGAATATTACTGATATTTAAAATCTTATGGTTTTATTTATATTGTTTTAGTTTTTCCTCGTATCAAGAAATACGTAGTGCACGAAAAAATGGAGAGCCTCCAAACGATTGATAAAGTGCTAAAAGAAATATAATGTAAAAGAGGGCAGAGCAAGATTATAAAGAAATCTACGAAAAAACAGGAAGCGTCTGGAAAACAAACTGAGGAGAATTGGGGTACAACAAATACTGAAAATATAGTGAAGGAAGAAAAGAGATGTAAGAGACTATACGTGTTAGAATATAGTAACATTGAAAATAATGTGCAATTTTAGGAGCAGCCCAAGAACTGCACATTACACAAACACACAAAAGCTGAAAATAAATAAAAATAAGTAAATTGGATAGGCTTATTGTGAAAATTAAGAAATGGTATTGACATTGACACTTTTTAAAATTATTTTTATCCAAACTCCTAAAAAAGGGAACATTATGAATTCGCTGCCTATTGACAACGATGGCATAACTCTAATTTGAAAAATGTTGGAAGAAATAGAATGTTTAAAGCTCTTTCTCAGGCAATATGGGATGTCCGGCAAGCAAAACCATCGTGAGAATGCAGTTGTATAGTTTGCACCACTATATTTCAAATGCGAACTCGAAATCTCAAACGTGTATTCAAAATGAAGCTCTATCTTAGTAGGCAACAATTGCAATTAGTGTTTTGTCCTTATGCAACCCAAGCGATCTACAACATATTTTTAGGGCACTGCAGTAGGTTTGATTTGATTCATTTTCGTCAAAGAACAATATAAACTAAATGTGACATATGGGGAAGAAGTATAGTCTGCACACGTGTTCTTGAGTTCCTTGAATCTCTTTCCCACCATTTTACTACACATTTTGTTGTATGATGAAGCTGCAAAGCGAGGTTGACAACTTTTGAAAAAGTAGAAATTTTCGCTTCTGAGTAATACTGTAGAAAATGTATTTCCATCGGTAAACGGGCCACAGATTGTATTTTTTAGTTCTAACAAAATAGTAGTAGAACTAGAACTAGAACTAGCAAAAGGAGAGCTCAACTAAAGTTACCCCTAATAAAGATGCTATGTCCAGAAGCAAAAGAAGGAGCTATATTCGCATATCCCTTATTGAAAGAAAAACGAAACACTTGATCATGACCCGAAAGCTGAAGTTCATTACTTGTTGCTGGCATATTTGGTTTTTGTAAAATTATATAGTAAACATTCTGCAGAAAACCAACAATACGAGTATTAAATGAGTGTTCGTAAACAAACAACATTGGCATTTCACGTTGCTTAGGAGAATAAAATGTGATTGCGCCGTTCATATACAAATTGCTGCACCAGCCATAAAGTAGGAATACATTATATAATTGTCATTTATGTATGCTTGTAACCACTTGGAGAATACACATATCTTCACAAAAGAGAACGATCTCGATACCATTAGGTGTTAACATCCCAAAGCCTCAAATAAAATTCAAAACCTGCTAATTTGAAGCGTAGCTACTGTATCTATTTGAACCTGTTTCTGAAAATACGTTGATAATGCATTTAACGCGTAACATATATTATTCTGAGAACGGATTAATTTTCAGTACCACATTACTTTGTGAATCATTTATGATTTTTCAAATGTCAAACGCGACTGTTAATAGTTAGCATATTTTCCGGAAATGTAATGTAATCTTTTAACTCTCGTTTCGCGTTCATAAATTATGCATGGGACGTGTGTGTCAAATCAATGTGTGAGCTAATCATTTCTGCTGTGTCGGTGTTTCGATACCGCCAAGAGTTCTCGTTACGGGTTGTGCATTTAAATTTGTCGTGCGCTTCTTGATAACCCTCGTGCTCAAACGGAGCGCTTGGGACGTGTGTGTCTCATCTCGAGAAGCTGCGGCGTGGGCGGGCAAGAAGCAAGGGGGCAAGGAGGAAACGGAAGTGCGAGGCTATGAAGGAGATGGACGGGGGCAGGGGCTTCAGAAACCGCGATGCTTTGCTCTCGGCGGCGCTCCTGTAGTCGCTGCTGAGAAGCAGAGCGGGGGAGAGGGATCGGGCGAAAGCAGAGCGAGACGGGAACGGGGCGGCC